TGCTTTTGGATTACATATTTTTTACTTCATTTATAATATTTAAAGGAGTTGGTGACACAGGGATTGTTATATTTCAAATGAGGAAGGTAAATTTTATTTATAAAGTAGAGGGACATCAAAAAAGTTTTCTAAATAATAAATAAGGATATTATTAACACTTTATCAGGGCAGCTAGAAAATACTGGCATCTCTATTTATGGGTCTATTGCAATGCGTTTACGAGGTTGCTCACAGATGTGCATAATTCATATGCATATCTGTTTGCCCTAAAATTGTTTGGAATTCGTTGGGTAATGTTTTTCAGTAGTGGTGTTTGTTTTAATTACATGAAAGAATGCAAGAGTTGGAAAAACTTGATGTTTTACATCATAGCGAGTCATTAATTAACCCCATTCTGTGCTGCATTTATATATATATGCTCCATTTCATCCCTTGGTTTGGATGATATTAAGTAAAGTAATGAAAAACCAACCAACCCTTCCAACTCTTAATTGCCTTGAACTGTACTTAATATTTATATATATTATACATATTTACCTATTAATTAATGAATTATTAATAGGTTCTGCAAATCCCAGAAATTAGTTTCTAACAATTTACTAAATAAACAAGTCGATTTAAGTAATTTACGAATACTACCAATCTCTCTACCTCCGAACAGTAACAAGAACAAGTCTTCGTAATGCATGGCATAAACGTATTCGTTCCACCTGACCTTAGCACGAACGTGTTCATGTTTGACATCAGGTTTACATACCCTTAACATTCGAGACGATACCTGTTCTAGATCGGGTTGCTCTGGTTTCAAGTTCTTCTGTGATTTCCTTGGACCATTTAGACAAATGCATTGAGGCAGTAATACACCACAGATAATTTTTTACTTCTCTTTTATCTTCATTTCGTCCGCCTCATCTTATTTCTGTCCCCAATCACCACTTCCCTTGATCCCTAAAAGGCGGCTGAAGAGTGCCTTCCCCTCTTCCCTTCAGAGGGACTACTCGCACACCAGCCTTTGCAGCCGGTGGGAATGAAGCACACAAATGCTTGTTTTTAATGTAAACTAAGTTTAATGTAAAAACTTCTAAAGAAGCCGTAGCACGTGTCACGTTAAATAAATTATATAAAAGTATACCAAATGTATTATATATATTTACAGTTCGGCTCTGATTGAAGTGTATAAGTAGGTACAAATAATGGTATTATCCTTCTTTTTAGGGAAAGTACATTTTCAATATTGCTCTTTCCTGAACAAAGAAAACGCAATATAAAATACATACCCGCAAGTAATTAAATTACGCCTCTACACAAAACGGCTTTTTGTTCATAAATCATTACACGTTTCTTCGTATTACTTTCAAAAAATGTCGTTTTCCTTTTTTCCTTTATCCAGGTAACCGCGATAAGGGTCCTAAATCAATACCTGCCACGGGCAACGGAAAATCTTTTATTTTTATTAGAACCGATCTGAGTTTTCCTTATTTATTTTGGTGTTATTTTAACAGACAACATGCGCCGTTCTATATTAGCAGAAAATGTATTTTCTATTTATGAACATTAAAAAGGAAAAATTCTCTCCACTCCCTATCTTGCCCAGAACATTATTATTATCTATTTTAACAGAGTTGTCCTTCATCGATTAAGTACCTTCAAAATAAATAATAAATTTCTGCACGAGAATATTATAGAAGCTAAGACTCTACTACAACTTCTTGAGAAATTATTTCTTGCGCTTCAAATAATAATAGTAGCAAACTAATCGGCTTAAGTTCTCCTTTGTTTTCCTGTACGGCAGCTTCATTGGATTCTTATTACGTAATCTAAAGTCAAAATGTCTAGTTATATAGCGGAAGAAATTCAAGAAATGCAAAACAAAAAATATTACATGAAATGCCACTGAAAATTTTTGATAGGTAAATATGATTGACATCAAAAAGTAATGGCTTTTCTTATGATATCAAAAGCTGGGATCATGTTTTTTATTTTCAATTTAAATGATGAGATAAGAATTTTGATTACATTTTTTTGGTAAATAATAGCAGAAATAGAAACTGCTTAATTTTTATCAGTCCAATCCTAGCGTAACATAATGCGTTGCCCCATTTTATGGAACAACCGCAATCCCAATTGACCGTTAGTTATAACATTTACATTGTGTCCTAATTTTATTCAATGTGCAAAAAAAAAACCCTCTCACCGCTCTGTATTAAATAAATGATATGGAAGAATTTAGCACGTAAAAGAAAGCTAGAGTGATACATCTATCATAAGACCTTTGTAAGGCTGATCCTCTTGACTTTGAAGGAGACAGGCACTCAAGGTATTCTCGAGCAACGTTAATAACACCACTAGAGAAATTATTAGTAAGACTTTCATGCAAGACATGACTCGAGGGGGAATATTTTTCAGAATTCTCCAAGACAATGGGAAAAATGCAGTGACGTATATTGTCGTTTTAAGGTCACAAACAACTGAACCTTGGACGAAATAGTCGATAATAATGAGAACAGTTCTTTCGTTTGTTTTCCAACTACATACACTTTTATTTCAATGTCATTTGCTGGCATATAAAAAACATCTGTCCAAATAAAAAATTTGATAGTGAGAGTTGTGAACACAAACTATTTTTGAATAAATTATTATTATTATTATTATTATTATTACTAGTTCTTCCCCCTGCCCTCGACCATTTTTATAGCTCCACAATGACGTAGTGTGATGTCGGCTGTTATGGTTTTTCAATAAAAAATTTAAAGGAATTGTTTGTAAATAGGTATGCAACACATCGTACACTTCAGCTTAAGAAATTGCTGATACTAACTTTCATTTACATAATACTACTTTGTCCTGTGCTGACTGCACTCATAATTTTTTTATATATAATATTAGCAAAGGATAATTTTATTCTTTCATTATTATTACCGAAATACCAAATCCAAAACCAATGAATGTTGTACTTCTTAAATTCTGTACTTATGTATGATAATATTATTTAAATGCGTTTTGAAAAGTATTGTTTTATAAAATGCATATTATACGACTTAGAAAACCTGAACTGTAACTTCTCCCGTGGGCATATGGGTACCTGCATAAATGTATCATTTTTTTTTCTTTTTATATTATTTTCTTCAGATCTTCACCCCAGTGACTATAGAGGTGATCGATATCAGTCCTTGTACGGATTTAGGGTTTCGAAAACAGCTTCTCTTGAATTTCGAAGTTGGCGTCTCAAGTCTATTGTCCGATTCCGACGTCGACCCCGTTCGCATAATAAATGGAAATATTTCTCTCGCATCACCCGTTGACACGACACACCGAATATCCCTTCGTACGTTGCGTCTGGAGAACGCAAAGTGGATTCCGGACAAGACATATTTACATAACGAATTCCTTTGCACCATAATAGATCAGTTGGCGAATGGTGCGACCTCAAACGACGCTATCGACGTTATTAGGACGACGCCAGCGACGACAAAAACCTCGTGCCCTTTACCAACAGGCACTTACGAAATTAACGGTTTCCCCGCTACTTTAAGGAACATTTACGGATATCCTTTAGATGCCATTGGACGAGGTATATTTAGGGTGGAAATCATGGAGGGTAATAATATCCCCTCTTGTTTTGATGTTCTTACCGAAAGTGCTTTTGGATTACTAAATAAATAGAAATGATATGTTTTTGTAACATTAAAATTAACAAGAAACCAATGATTAAATAAAATTCTAACAAAGAGTTTTTCCTTTTGTTATTTTAGGGCACTTTCTGTTTCTCCTTTCGCTCGAATGTGCGAACTGAAATTAACAACGCTTTTTACATTATCGATTTGTTCATATTAATGAATGACTTTGTATTTAATAAACGTCTGTGATTGACAAAAGAAAAAAATTCAAACAAATACAAATAATAAAATATCATTTTTTACCAAAGAAATTATAAACTTTTGAAGGATGTTGTTCATGTCCATGATAATAATTTCTGAATTTAATTATAAATCATAGAGCATTATTCCAAAACAATATTTGAAGATAAACAATAGAAATTTAGTTGAACATTTCGTCGTTTTATTGTAGTCTTTCTCAGCAACTACAAAATTAAAAAACAATTACTGAATTACAGAAATAAATTTTTGTTTGTTTCGGAGAATTTTTTTATTTGTTGAATAATGGCTTTTTCTCTCATCGTTAGGTTTTTTATATCATCAGTTCAGTAATATCGACATCACTCTCTTCTGCCCAATAGATCACTAAATTTAAAGAGTCTAATAAATCTATTTAATATCTAATAAAACTAAATTCAACGATTCAGGATTTGCAGAACTACGTACCTATTAAGTACCTACTTAAAGCGAGTACAGGAATAAAACGTTTCTCCATCTAATACGACCGAGGTAGTATCACATATATCGGGGATTTACAGATATTAAAGCACAACTGTAATAGCGAAATATCGACTTAAGGACCGATGGATATTCGCTTCCATATTATAAAGAGGCTTAATTTGTGTAAAATATATGGGTCATCCACGCTAGTATAATTAATATGGTGTTCACATTAACTTCAAACCATTCAAAAGTTTTTCAACTTCTTGGTGAATTTGAATTACTTGGAATATGTAAAAGTTACTAAAGCTGACATGCCTTCATACAGAAAATCAATTTCATTTTTATGGACAAAATTTATCCTAATTATGATTTTTAAACTTGATGTAGGGGTTTCTAAAGTCGAAAAAGCTTCAAGTAATCGTATACTTATCATTTTGATTACTTTTGATCCAATAGTCAAATAAAAATAATTTTTTAGCGTATCCCTGCCAAAAGTAGGATGTTTTCCCTAATTTCAGAGATGTATGCGCAATATCTCCTCCTGGATAAGAAACCGTATTTAGCTCTTCCTTTTTACGAAAGGATTTTACCATCCTTCGTGTGGTTTCTACTCACTACTTTCGCGGCAGGGTACATTAAAAAATTGTATACTGGCCTCGAGAAAATAATACGGCACCCCCTCCTGAGAGTTTGCCATCATCATCGGCTAGGGTGGCAATTCACGCCCCGAAGGGATCCTGTACTTTATTTCCTTGGTGCGTAATACAGGTAATACTATTAATTTTAAAACAGATGGTCCTATTTTAAGACGAGCCCTCTTCATATCAAAAGAGATAGTACCATATGTTTGCAATTCATTAAAGTAAACCCATCAGTCATGTATCACTAAAATTTGGAATGGGAACATAACCGCCACGTTCAATTTTCTTGTGCTTTGAGCAGAAATTTAAGGGGTACTTATAGTGGCTAAACATTAACTATTAGGGAGGTTTATAATAGTAAAGGTGCCACATGGAAAGTAGGATTCCAAAAAAGCTTTCGATTTTATTATAACTACTACTGTTTAAGATTGCCTACAATACCAAAGATTATCACTTCTTTATATCGTTTGTACTTAATAAACCTTACGACTTAAATACGAGAATTTTGCAGATGTCTGAAGAAAATATATTTCTCCAAGAATTTTCTGTTGTACAATTGTGTCAATTCCAATATGCCGAAGAGGATTTATTTCAGTTTGTTCTCCACAATACCAAATATTTCTGTTTCATTTCCGAAGTAAATATGTACCTACTTACGCCGTTTCGAAACATTCGCCTTTATGTTTAGACAGTTCACGTGTATGCACGAACTTTTGTCTTTGAATCGAACAAGGAAGAAAATACCACCTGTTTAGTGTTTGAACATCATAAACTGTTAACAAGTTCTACCGATATATCGGAACGAGATGGGCTAATTACAATATCAAACTTTTAGCTTTAGAGTTGCTGTAAAACAATATAGATATTGTTTTTGATATCATTTTCAAATACGTAGAGAAGGAATCCATTAAATATGTTTTTGGTTTTCAGCATAATTTAAAAAGATAAGAGATAGCAAGGATTTTGCCATGAATTGGTCTTTACTTTTTTGTATTTTCTCCAGTGTTTGCATGACCGACGTCTCGAGTCTCCCGTCATGCACCATGGTGGTTTTAAGGCAAGAGAGATATTTTGAATTGTTCTATGATATATCTGGATAATACTTGATTGCTAGGATTGTTTCTTCTTCGGCGAGAACGCCGATCTAGTCGTTTATCCGACGTTTCACCGGCTGTTGTGGTTTATATCCTCGGATGTCTTTCGCTAACACCTGTTTAGACGTTAAGTGACGATGCTCTTCATTGCTTTCACCCTAGAAGCAAGTTAGAATGTTCTCGAATGTCTCTATCTGTCTCTAAGATTGTCCTTCGATTGAATTTACTAGAGTAAGTTCGATTGGAGCAGTAGAGAACGTTTTAGTTTGTCCGAGAATCATTGTGTGTGAATAGTGGAGCTGATTTCTAACATATGTTTCTGGAGTAGACACAAGCTAGAATGTTCTCAAATATCTAGGACTGAACTCAATTGGAATGCTCTAGAGTGAACTAGAACTAGATCGAAGGAATCAAGAACCCCCAAGGATGTTTGAGTGATGGAACTAGGTCCTGACACTAAATTAAGTAAGACATCTTGATATATAACAGAGGACTCCATGGAAGTCAATAAACAATAGGCGAGATAGGTTGGTAGGACACCTTCTCAGAAATGAAGGTCTAGTCAGAGACATATTAGAGATATAAAAACAGGAGTTAAGAGGAGTAGAGGTAGACCTAGATTAGATTACTATTCGCAAATAGTTAAGGATGTGGGATGTTCTAGTTTTAGAGAAATGCGAAGATTAGCTCAGGATAGGACTGGAGGTGCGTGTCCAATCAATCTTAGGACTGACGACCTTATGATGATAGTGATCTTGGTATACTTTGACCAATGTGCCCCAAAAAATGTTTGAAATCTCTTACAATGTTCAAGATTTTTCCAGTCTGGTGTGCCTTTGGGTTTCTGAATTGACAACCAAATGTCCGCTTAGGATAAATGAGAAGAGAAAATGTAGTTTTGGTAATAGAAAGTCATTTTCCGGTTAAGCGTGTCAAGGATACTAAAAATAAATAAAACACGTTCAATGACGTAGCTAGCTGCTTCTTATTACACCTGGTTACTTCAACACAATTTTTCTTGTTGGCCATTGTAAAACTCAAATTTTCTTCGTTTAACATGGATTTTTTTGAAATGTATATAAATTTAGCTATAATAAAATTTAAACTAAGATTTTCAATTTGAAGAATACTTCGATTGATTGAAGGACATAAAAAATTGAAAAGGTATCTCAAAATGTCAAATACAATGGAATGCGGTCTACAGCTTTGTGATCAATATTGAATGACATTCTAACTCCATTTCATTCTATTGTTCACCTCTTATCAAACAAAATGCAGGCTTTAGAGGCGAAAATACGTCGATACAAGCGGAGTTCTAGTGAAAACCAAGGTCCTAATTTATCTTTCTTTACCCCAGACATAAATATTTATGCGATCTTTGCTTTTCTCAAGTGTTACCGATACACTTTTTAGAGTCACACACAGTCACATTAGTATTCCATGTGCGTTTTGTTGGATCTTTTCGAATTCCCTATACACCCTTGTTATCTCGTTGTCCCGAGAATGATGGGCCCGAAAATTCAAAAGAATATCACCATCAAAATGATGTAGGTACCCACTTCTAACCTATCAACAAGAGTACAGCAGAACTATACTATTTTTTTAAGAAAAGAATTCCACGTTCACTTTCTCGACCCGATAATTATGAGGAAAAAAAGAGGAATTTGATGTAGGTATCTATATTGCGTTTTGAAAACATTGGTGCTTAGGAAAATGGTGAAAAACTCATGTAAAAGTGTGAAAAATTGGTTCTAGATGTTTTGAGCATTAAAAAAGATAAACCAAAAAAACAAAAAATTGTAGAGGAGATCGGAGCTAATTGACATAAGGAGCTGCTTGGCACACAACTTCTATTTCCTGCCACCATGATGATTGAACGTTACCATCTTAATGGTAGGGAGTGTATGTAAGGCGTTATACCTACCATTTATCCAAAAATGTATACATCAAATTCCTACTATTTTTTATGTCGAAAAAGTCGACCGGAATTCTTTTTTTAAAAATTGTAAACCAGACTACAAATCCTTTTTGTACGTTCATGAAAATAGAACTTTAAAAATATGTATAAATTGACAAATGATGCCATAATGAAAGTAGGTGAAACACGTGTCCACTGTTTTAAAAGTATGATGTGGTACATAAGGGTGCAGCTCTTTTAGTTTATTTACTTACCACGGTTTCCTTTAATATTCTTCCTAACGTCACGTTACTATCATATTGTTAAACTGATCCTTCTTTTCAACCGTCAACTTATTAAGTCCCTGAGTTCATTCAATATCTTTCCAATGGTATCAGAATCGTTCAAATTAAGTTTTAAAGAATTTTGATTTTCTACAACACGAATTAAAACTTTTCGTTGTGTCTGAATTTTTGAAGATTACTCTTATCTTATCCTATGTTTTGTACCATATAATACTCATAATTCATGTTTGTTGGATATAGTTATTATATAACTCTAACATTGCTGAATAATAACGTGAGATTGTAATAAATTTATTTATTTGTTAGCTATAAATGTTCGCTCACTCATGTCTCCACGCTCCGACAAATAGCAGCGAGACTTGTGTTTGCTGTAGTGATCTATTAGCATTTAATTTCGTTGTTAGATTCGCTTCTGGGATAAAGTCTCGTGCTTAAATTGGATA